ATATGGCTCTCTCTATATATGAATTTATTCATCGGAAGACAAAGTAAAGCATGCCTTTTAATATATTAAGGACATACATATTTTGACACTATTAATCTTAGCATTGTTTCTCTAAGCCCGGACTGATGTTTTACCAAATTCTACAAATCCAGCTGTATTTCAGGTTTGAATAACTTAACTGAATTTTTGAACACTTAAAGAGTAGTATATGCAGAGAAATGTATTTTTCTGGAATGGTAAGGAATACTTTACAAAGCATATGATAACAGCTGTTGGCATGTTTGCAACTGGTAAATATAAGCAATATATCAAAAGGTTGATTTATTTACTTTGAAATTTATATATTTTGAATTAAAATGTCACTATTAAAAATATGAAACATATTAGGACCAGATGCAGCTAAACATTGTGAATGATACAATGCCACATTATTTTTTTTTTGAGATGGGGTTTATCAGTGACATTGGAATTGAAGATAAAGAACATAATTTTTTTTTTTTTGGTTGCCATACCATTACACTTATTAGCAATTGCTGATTTTAAGACATTTTGTAAAGTGCCAAAGAGTGGAGAAAATACTTGAGCCAAGACAACAAATACCACCAAAGTATAGTGATAAGTATTCTCTCTGCTTTTTTTTTTTTTTTTTTTGAGTAATTTTTGGCCCCTTTACTCAAAAACTGAGTGCTTCCTAAGTATGCAGAAAAAGAAGTTACAGTTCGGGTTTTTTCCTCTTTTCATCTCCTATAGAAGAAATGAAGTGACATCCAGTTTTTCTGTTGGCTTTGCTGCTTAGCAGTGCTTAGTACATGTGCACATGCTTATAAATAATTCCTTTTTGATGTAATTTTTGCCAAAGTGCCCTCATTTGAGTGACATTTTTGCTCCATTTACATCAATGTTAAAATTTCCATTAACTTCCCCAGGGCTGGGATTCCACCTGTTTTGTCTAAGTTCACTATAGTTCAGTCTCGTGTATTTAAAAGCATTTATATTTTAATTGCTTCAATGGAATGCAGTTGTCGTGACCGACAAATCTTGCAGAGGGCAGAAAGGATCATCTGGCGAGGAACAACACCACATAAGGGCTTATACAACAGAACAGAAATACTAAGCTCCACATTCAGTGGGAAATAGCGTGGTAAGGGGCGTTTCAAATTAATCTCCTTTTACAAAATTCTTTTCAAGTAGGATACTGCTGCTCTTAGAGAGTTTTTTCCAAGTTTACAGCTTCATTCCTGCACATGCATTGTCGTAAGCAACACAAGTTTAAAACGTGGATCTAATGAGATGGAGACAAATCTGTTAGCACTGCACAGACAGAGCGAATATGCTGCTTGGCTGGTTTGGATATTCTAATCGTGACGGAAGAGTGAAAATGAGTGTTAGCAATAAAGAAAAATTTTCTACAAAGTAAGTCAGTACCTTTGCCAGAGATTCTCTCACCTTTTCCCCCTGAATCCTGCCTGCAACTGCAGTCGTAGTAAAAGCTGTTCAGTGGAGCAGTTCCCCCTTGGTGCGGGAGATGGAACATTCTCTGCATGTCTGTGCTAAGTATGGCTTCAAACCTAAATTTCTCTTCTTCCTGTTTCTTGGTGTATTTGCCTTGGCTCTTGCCTGGATCCAGATCTAATCCTGTCTTCTATGTCTTTTAGCTAAACTCTGAGATAGCTGGAAAACCATGTTACCTCAAAGATAACATGGGATGTCATCCATTGTCTTCAGGTGCTTCAGCTCCCCGGATACAAAGAAAAGACGACAATCTATAGAAAATTTTTCTCTGGAGCGCATCAGTAACCAGGTGAACAAGCGTACAGGTGTTTGGAATTTTTAAGCTGTTTATGGTAACAAGAGATGTTTTGCCAGTTGTGGCTTTGCTTATTATTTTTTGGGGGGTCATGACAGGGGTTTTTAAAGAGTAAGGTTTTTCTTGTTCCCAAGTTTCACATGACTAGTCATTCAAACTGTATTTATTAACGTGAACAGTGTTGTCCATAAACATGTATGGTGGCAGTCCCTAGCGTTGACCTTCTCAACTAGTATAAATCACAGTAATTCCTTTGATTTGTGTGAACTAGAATAATCCTGTTTAGTTGAAGATCTGGCCCAGAGTACAGGAAGTGTATATGTTAGTCAGGGAAGGTTGTAGCAGTTTCTAATTCTTCTACTTACTACTTTCATGCAGATGTGGAGTGTTCTTTAAAGTTGACATGGTCCAAATAAGGTATTTAATTTTCTATTTGTAGTATCAATATCTTGGTAAGTGAAGCAACACCCTTGGTTTAGGAATTATGTTTCATTATTGCTTCATAGAAAAAGAAGACCTTATTTGGATCTGGACCTTCAAGCAATACTGAAATTTTGACAGACAGAAATATTTCTTTAAAGAATGAACTGATTGTATGTGCAACTGTTATGCAATTAAAATGTTTACCTAATTCAGAACTTACAGTGACTGAAATTAATGAGACCATTTATATTCATGTAACACAGATGAATCCAGGTAATTAGGACATGTAAATTAAGTAAAAAAAAATATTTTTTAGAATTTTGTAGCTTGAAAGAGCAATGAGAAATACAGTTCCTTTCAAAGCAAAAATGATTATGCCTTTCACTAGGGGTAGAGGTTTTACAAAAGGTCTTTCAACTGAGGATCTCACAACTCTGCTTGAAACAGAGAATTAGGGCTCAACACTGAAGCCTTTATCAAGTGAACAGTCTGAAGGGGAAGGAAAGTGCTCTGATGATTTTTCAGCTGTGGGATTGGGCTCTTGTCCCTCACTCTGTGAGGTAAGACAGCTTTACTTTCTATAATTTACAGAATGAGCAAGCAAGAAGTGTGACTTGCCTAAAGTTACACCACAAGTCTGTGGCAAAGCTGTGGAATAAAGCACCCCAGCAGATGTGTATGTAAGCTGCAATTTCATCTTTCTCTTGTGATTCTAAGTTGGGAAGAACAACAACTGTTTTGAAATTCAAACCAGAAAGATAATTATGTCTTTCCATGTGATTTGTTGGTTATCCTGGCTAGCTATCTCAATTGAAATGAGGAAACACTTTCCAAAATCTGGTGGGTGTGTGGGAGGGTTTGGGATATGGGGATTGGGAGTGGAAAAAAGTTTATCCTATGAATTTTCTGACCTGAAGACCATTTGGCTAAATTGATGTTAAGCTGATAAATTCTCATATGACCATCTTCAGTTTTTTTCCCCTGTCAGAACGATTCTACTAGAAAAAGCTAAAATATGTCTTGGATATGCATAAATGAGATATGTTTACTTAAAGCTCTACTCTCTGTCTTCTGTGTATCTATTTCTAGTCATTCCAGTCCTCTCCGTCCTTCTATCTGGTTTACATCTTTAAAATGCAATTCAGAAAACTGCCACAAGCACACTTGGAGAACCTGACAAAAGTGCAGTTTGGCACATTCAGATAAGAGCCAGTAGCAGCGCTCAGTCTCACTGTTTCATCACAGACAGAAAATATTACAAGTGTAAGAACACTCAGGTTTGTAAATTATAGATTTTAAAAGGCAAAGCAAATGTCAGTAATTCGCTGAGCATTGCAGCATCAGTGCCATAAACAGGTGTACTTCTTGGTTTCTTAAGTGGCTGATTTTTAAATTTATGATCAAGTATATAAAATTAATGACGTATGCTTACACTTAAAGGATAAAAGCTAGTTTCTTCCAGTGTGCTAATGTACATAATTGATTCTTTACAACTAGAAACCAGATACTCTTTCATTCATGCATTCATCCCATGGCAGTCTAATTTATGGAACTGTGGTGCACTGTTTTTTTGGGGGAGGTAGTAGGAAGAATTAAAAAAAACCATTTCTTACATTGTTACCTGTCTTGGGATATACACATATGATTATGTAGAATCTGTGTCTGGGTGGCTGTTTGTCCTTTCTTGCAGAGTATTCTTGCTCACTGAGTGGGAGGGTCACACTGTATGAGACTAATAAGGACAGAGCTGCATCCCCCTCTACCACTCTTTGGAGACTTACTCCAGCAACTCCTCAGCACTACAGCAGCTCTGTACAGGCATTTTCAGTGCTTCCGGGGGACAGAATAATATAAACATTAAAGGTAAGCAACTCATTATTTGTAGTCAATTCTCTAAACATATCACATGTGCACACATACACACATACTACACTATTCCTGGCTTGTTTTGTGGTGGTTTTGTTCGTGGGTTTTTGTTTTCCAAAATAACCATTTAAGTTTATCACTGCTAATATTAACTATGTTTTGTATAAACATGATGTACACTGTAAGTTTTTAATGCACTGCAATCAGCCTATGCTATAGTATGCTTCTCATGACTCTGTAAATACATTGTACATGTTAGTGGGTGACTATAGGTATATGCAAAGATATGCTAATAGAAACAGCCCTATTAAATTAGCAGTAATTTACAAAACTGATTAAACTGTTGCAAATTGCCACAATTCTGACTGTGCATGTATTTACATTTAAAAACCTACCTATTAGTGTGTGCCCTTGTAATTAGCTCGCGTACCGGGTGGCCTGCACGCAGTTAGTCGAACACGCCGGTGAGTGAGCTGCGGCAGCGAGTGCCCTCCGAGGAGGAGGCACCGCGCCGCGCAGCATCGGGGATGCCGAGGGGCGCGTCCCGCCGGGCTGGCACCAGCGCTGCCGACCCCGGCCCGCTCCCGCCCGCGGCGGCCCCTCACCTGCGGCCCCGTGCAGGTGCCGGCGCGGCCCCGCGGCAGCGCCCGGCGGCACCGGGTCTCCCCCGCCCGCCGGCGCCGCCGGCCCGAGCGAGATCCTGGCTCCGCTCCGCCCCGGGGCCGCATAGGAAGCGTCGGCGGGCGCTGCCCCTCGCTCGGCTCGCCCGGGCCGGCCGCTCCCGGCGCCGCAGGAGGGTCCGGGGAGACGGGGCGGGGGCGGCGGGGGGGCCCGACAGCGGGGCCGGGGGCGCGGAGCCGAGAGCTCAGAGAGCGAGCTCCGGCTGCGGGGCGGGGGCGCTGCTCGGGCTCCTCGCCCAGCCCCGCCGCCCAAGCTGTCCGCTTGCCTTTCCGCCTGGAGTGCTGGACCTTCCCTCCGGCAAACCCGGCTCGATCCGAGAGAAATGAAGCTGCCGGCACTGCCGAGTTAAAATCTGAGCTGCCGAGGGCTCGGGTCGCTCCACAGGCGCCCCGTGGGCTCCGGAGCGCCAGCTGAGCGAGGGAGCGGAGCCTCCGGAGCCCCCGGCGGGAGGGCACCAAGCCTGGAGGTGCGGCGGCAGCAAGGGGGTGGTGATGCTGGTTGTTAGAGCCCTTCAAAAAACGAGTCCTCTGAAGCGGCAGCTCTAGTGAATTCCCGATGCCTGCTTGCAAAGCAGGTGCAGGAAATTAAATGATAATGTTATTTGAACATATATTGGCTTCGCTGCTGGTGGGGAGGCTGGAAAAGTTAATGATGGTGTAGTTGCTGTCAGTGCATGTGACTGACAGAATAGCTCTGATGATGAATAAGGTGCCCTGTGAAAATAATTATAAAAATTGCATCTTAGTTATGTGTTTTACTTTTCTTACAGAAAATGATTAGATTAGAATTAGATTAGAATAATATTTGCCATTTTCTGTGTGTCATTAAATCTGCGTGTATCTATGCGTCACAGTTGACTTAGAAGAAAAGCTGAACAATAAAAGCTATGTTCTTGAAGCCAGACTGTACATTTGTGAGATTTTAAGTGGCAATTAAATATAGGCTGCTTGCATATTTTGCAAGGTAAAGAAACAGCATATTTTGGTTTCTGTTGTGCTTAAACTGAACCAACTGCATGTTGTTCTTTGTTCAATTTGAAGACTACTTCAGCAGTAGTAGTCTTCAAAGTCACTGGAAGTGTTGTGACACCAGTTTAGCTAATATATTGAAAATTGAAAAATAATTTGGGGAGAAATATAAAATTATTAATCACTAATTAAATGGAAAATCAGGGCCTTTACAACTAATATATCTGAGTTAGTTTTTCTAAGGTGTTACTTTGAAGTTCAATAAAGAACTAAAAAGGAGTATATTTGTCATTTATTTCTAAATTGACATAAGACTTTTTGTAGCTCCTTAAGCAGATAAATTATACACTTGAATGTTGCTAGCAACTTTCTCTTCACAGTTAAGAAATTTTTGTTTGCAGTTTTCTGATGGAGTAAGGCGAAAAGAATAAGATGAAACTGTTCTAAAAATGCTTATTTTCTGTTTCAGATTTGTAGCTGATTGTTCATATGTGTTCAGGGGGAGATGAACTACATTGGATCCTGCATAATTTGGCTTTGTATGGCAGTCTTCCTCCTCCTTCCTGTTTCTACTTCCGTGGCTGTGAGTGACCAGACAGGTACTTCCACTTTTCTTGCCCATCACAGACCAAAGGCATAAATCTCAGTACTGAAAAATTTCTAACAGATAGCAACAGCACATGGAAAATAAACAGTATGAGGAGATAAAATTATACAAGATAATGTAAATCTTTTTTTGTAGAATGTCCTAGGTTAGAAGCAGTTTCAAAATAGCCTTCCTGTGCTTGGAAGAATCGTGCTTGGAGGCAGTTGTAGATCCTAGGAGTTTTGTTTTGTCCTTTTTTTCTGTACCATACAAACCAAGATTATAAATCAAAGTTTGTGAAACTTTTGTGAACAAGTCACGTGGCTTTATTATAGCAGACTAGTTATCACACTGACCTAAACAATACTTCAAAGATCTGTATCTATCTGTATCTATCTTAGACAAAACCTTGTGCCTGGTGGGGAAAAGGAATATAGTGATATTTTCTAACTTAAAAGCTGTTACCCATATTCTGCAAATTTTCTCATACTTCTTTGTTTTCTTCTTTCTCCGTCCACATGTTATCTAGAATTTTCACTTAAACTCTACAGTAACTCTCCAGGGTGTGGTAAATTCTGTCTTAAAGGCACATCATGTGTGCTTCTCACATGAGGAATGTCAGTTTTCTGGAATTGCTCAGCCTCCACACATACCTCAACTTTCTATAAATTTCTTACATTTACTGGCAAGAAGAACAGGCTTATTGTTATTTAAATGAAGTACTTTTTTTTCAAAAAGTAACTTAACTTTTAGTAATGCTGTTTTTTCCAGAAATCTGATGAAAGATAATAGAAGCTATACATACACAAAAACTTTGAATTTCAATAGCACATTCGAAACTCAGGCCCAAGAAATTAAAAAAATCAGTGACTAGGATAATGATCCTTTTACTACTCCTGGAAACTATAAGTAGTAATATTGAATAAATAATAAGTGTAATGTGTGGGCTCTCAGGTAAGAGTAATGCATTGTGAAGAGTCTGAATTTAAGTCAAAGATTTCTTTCCCTTATATTTTTAGGGCAGCAAGGCTAAGTGCTCTACTGATGAATTATTCTTAACCCCTGTGAGAGAACAAACCTACATCGTAGCTGTAAAATCATTCTATTCAACTGTCTGAAAAAAGCAAAATAGGTTGTATTTTCTGTCACTGCTAGCTGGCTAGTTGCAGAAGGGAAGTTTTTAAAAGTGCTAAAATCATGTGAGTGCAGAAGGTTCCCTAACAACATAAATGAATAAATGGAAACTTGAAAAATGTTAAAACAAAATTCCAGGAAGAATTTTCTCTTTTCTTCTATATTCTTTTTTTCCCCATAAAGAAAATATGTCTTAGTAAATGTTGGACATATGTGACAGGTACATTAAACTGTTAATATACAGTGAATCTGAACTCTGCATTACATTCTGTTAGAAGTTAGTGCCTAGGCAGCCAGCAGTGAAGTTGCAGTTTTCCTTAACCTGATTGTCACAAATGGATCAAATATGGGTCCAATTGAACCACTAGGAAGAAGAAGAGAGATTGAACTTCTCCTGTGAATAGCTGATGGTGTGCAATTGAGAGATGCTTCTGCAGTTTGTGGAGATACAGGCAGATGGTGAGGAATAACAAGTAGATAGCTGCCAGCTTGAGCAGCTCTGGCAACAGCAGGGAATAGGCTCAGAGTGAAGCCTTAAGTTGATAATGGGAAAGAGACTCTTCTAGAGTCTGTAGGTATGGTTACTGTCCAAAAAAGAAATACAACTTGTAGACCAGTAAGCAGGAGTTGAGAAAGAACGAACCCCGTAATGGAGCAGCAGTAAAACGAATACAGATCTTTCTGCAAACCTTTTGTTAATCTGCCCTGCTCAGCTGACACGAATACTCTGTGTTGCAAAGTAGTCTTGCTACAGTTTGATAATTTATATGCAGATGAATCTGTTACAAATTGGAAATATGCTCACTTCAAGAAGAGAGGAATAGCTAACCTCTTTTTTTTTTTCCTCCTCCTATCTTGCATTAAGACACTCTAAGTCATTCTTTCTTTTGTCTTTGTTCTCTCCTATGCACCAATTCTGTTTGGATCAGCATCTGTCCCTCAGTATCTGCCTAGACAATCCTTCAACAACATATGCCTAGCATTTATTTCTCACTGTGCTAATATGAAAGCCTTTCCAGTAAAGCAAATTTAGAGACAATCTGGGATTATTGTATTTACATCCTGAAATTTATCACCTGATCTACTTGATTCTAAAGGAATGGCTTTGAAATTCATGAAAAAGTATGAATTAGAGTTAATTTAAGGGTGATGAGGGAAAGAAGTGTGTTAGGGAAAGGATTAACTTGTGTGTATATGTAGGGGAGAGCTTTCTGAGCTGGCATGCCAAATATACTTATTCTTTGGGTCAATATTGTAATAAATAACCACCAGTATTGAAAAAAAGGTCAGTGTGACAGAGTATGCTGGATCATCTTGGAGCAGTCCTCTTTAGGCTCTGAGTGTCCCAGTAACCGTTAGATTCACAGCAAGAATTTCTTTCAGTTCTTGCCTATCCAGAAGCTTTGCTATGCTGAATGTTCATCAGAAGGAAACACTCACTTCTCATGACAGAATATAGCAACTCTGAGGGAGAGGGTTCAGGAGTTTTCCACAATCCTGTTTTTGATCTGACTTCAAGAATATTTTGTTCATGTTGTCAACTTATTGGGAATATTTGGGTTTTGAGAGTGGATATGAGCTGTAGTGACACATGAAGTTCTAATTTAATCATTCCAGAATGCTCTATATTAAGAATATTAATACTCTGTCTCATTCCCAGATCATTGCTTCTTTTTCAACTTTGTTTTACAATTACTGTTTTTAAAGTCACTTGCTAACCCATGAAAAATGTAGTATAAGCAAAGTCCTGGGACTGTCAGGCATGGTGAATTTCCATTGCCTTTTGACATGGAATGTGTTGTGAAAAGTATAGGCTCTAGATTATAATTTTGGATAGGCACTTTAGCCCAAATACAGAGTGGTTTCAAGTATGGAAATCTGTTCAGCTTTTTTGGTTTTAATGTTTTCAGTATGGCTAGATACTTCTCAAAATCAAGATAATGACTCTACAGTACCTCTCATATATTCATATTTCTGATATTCCCATCCATCCTGACCTTGAATATTTCCAGGGATGGAGCATTTACCACCTCTCTGGGCAACCTATTCTAGTGTTTCACCACCCTTATCATGAAGTCTAGTCTAAGTCTAACCTCTTTTAGTTTAAAACTATTACCCTTTATCCTGTCACAACAGACCCTGATAGAAAGTCTGTCCCCATCTTTCTTACAAGCCCCCTTTAAGTACTGAAAGGCTGCAGTAAGGTCACCCTGGAGCCTTCTCTTCTCAAGGCTGAATGACCCCAACTCTCTTGGCTTGTCTTCACAGGAGAGGTGCTCCAGCCCTCTGATCATTTCTGTGGCCTTCCTTTGCATCTGCTCCAGCAGGTCCATGTCGCTCTGATGGTGGGGCCACAGAACTGAATGCAGTCCTCCAGGTGGGAGGGTCTCATGAGAGCTGAGGGGCAGAATCCTCTCCTTCAACCTGCTGGCCATGCTTCTTTTGATGCAGCCCAGAATACAATTGGCTTTCTTGACTATGAGCACACACTGTCAGTTCATCTTCAGCTTTTCATTCACAAGTATTCTCAAAGCCTCTCTGTCATGACTGCTCTCAATTGCTTCATCCCACAGCCTGTTTTGATACTGGGCATTGCCCTGACCCATTGTGCAGCACCTTGCACTTGACCTTGTTGAACCTCCTGAGATTCCCAAGGGCCCACTTGTTGAGCTTCTCCAAGTCCCTCTGGATGACATCCTGTCCTTCAGGTGTGTCAACTGCACCACTCAGCTTGGTGTAATCTGCAAACTTGATGAGCATGCACTGGATCCCACTATGTCATTGATGAAGACATTAAATAACACTAGTCCCAATACAGACCCCTGAGGGATACCATTTGTTACTGATGTCCATCTGGACATTGAGCAGCTGACCACTATCCTCTGAATGTGACTGTCCAACCAGTTCTTCATCCACCAAGCAGTCCACAAACCAAATCCCTATCTCTCCAACTTAGAGATGTTGTAGGGACTATGTCAAAGGCCCTGCAGAAGTCCAGATAACATCCATAGCTCTTCCCTTGTCCACAGATGTAGTCACTCTATTGTAGAAAGCCACTAGGTTGGTCATGAAGACTAGCCCTTGATGAAACCATGCTGGCTGTCTCAAATAATATGAAGTCCTGTTTTTCACTACTTACTCTTCCTTATGGGAAAATAGAGTTTCCCAGGGTCTAGTATGAGTATCCTAACCCTTGAACTCCATTAGTTGGGATTTCTTAATTCTGTCTGCCAAAGCTGTTTGTTACTTTCATAACCATATAAATAGTCACCAGACTTAAGTTGACTTCTTTACTTTATCATGTCTCCGTCATGCTTTTTCCTACCCTTGTCTTAATTAACACATATGTTGTAATGTAACATGATCTGGTTTACAGAGTAAAAAAGGAGTAAAAAAAAAAATTCACATCTCATTTCCTGGTGCCTCTATACTTGAGGCTACAGGTATGTAGGATTTCTGAATTCTTGACCTTATTTGAAAGCAGGTCAGCTGAGTCTGCTTAACTTTAGTACAAATACCTTTGGGGTGGACTCATTGGATGTTGTTGCTGATATTTGCATATGTGTTGCAAACTCTGAAGATGTTCCCTATGTCTATATATTTATGAAGTTTTATCCAGTAAGTGTGAGACAAAACTTGGCTAATATGTGTTTGAGTCGACATAGGATGATGGGATATTAGGGCTTTGCTGTTTGGCAACATTCATTAGGCTGGTCATGCTTACTGATGGAAACTTCAGTGCCCTTGCAACGTGCATTTCAGTGGTGTTAGATGGCAGCTGAAAACTTCAGCTGAACATAAAATTTAATTGTAAAGTAGCATGTAGGTACTTGCAAAGTGAATCTAGCCTTTACAGGTTACATTTGATCTGGAAAAGCCAAGAGTGCTTATTGGAAGTTACGGTTCATAATCAGGAAGTGCACACAAGAGATGTCTTTAAGAGAGACTGAAGCATGCTCCAGAGTTCCTCTGTCCTCGTTTGCTTGGAATGGAAAGCTGAGCGTGGTGCTTAGATGGAAGTTGCACTGTCCTTCAACAGGTGTCCTGATTATTCCAGGAATTAGGAATATGTCATTGCATGTTGCAGCAGATATTTTAGATGCAATGCCCTTTTTTTTTGTTTTTCATAATTCGATTAGAAAACAAACAAAAAATTCTTACTATTGTTTTACTGGAAAGACAGAAGATCAGTGGTCTGTGATGTATCTGCTTGGTCTGCATAAATACATATTTCAAAATGATGAGGTTGATTTTATATTAATAGGCTCGTATGTAGAACTCATTGATTTATAAATATCAAGGTCTAATTTGTCTTATGGATAGGTGAACTCGTTAATTTATAGATATGTTACCTTGACCTTTGATATCACTGTTTTAATATGAAATTTTTAGTTCAGTCCACACAGATGCAGTTTTACCATGTGCAGAGTAATCTCGTGTATAAATGTAAGCTCATTCTTTTTACTATTTCATTAATTTTATAATAATGTATTCTAACAGGGCAGATAGGTTCATGGTTTCCATATCTGGATTAGCAGTAAGGGTTTGCCTGTTTCTTTTCCTTTCCTGAGTATCTTTACATAGACATTCTCATTCAGCTACCCACAGGCCGAATGGGCAAACTGTCTGTTTTGTCTTAGGCTAAAGAAAATTTAAGGACCTTCCAGCAGTACTAAAAATTGTGGAAGAGGTTAACTGTACAAGCTGTAACTTAGAAAGAATTTTCATCAATCTATAGCAATGAAAGTCGTCAGTCTTGGTATGGAGAGGGTTTGGTCTTATTATTTGAGAGTTTTGCCTTAGCTCTCTGGTAAAAAGAACAGCATTGGACTAAAGGAGTACATCAACAGTATGAGACAGAAGATTCATGGTAACCCTTTCAGTTCTTTGGGGGATGTGGAATATAACCAAATATCTAACACTCAAATGGCCTGTCTATGCTGTGACTGTTATGCCACTGATAAAAATAGGTCCACAGTCTGTGGCATGTGAGGAATCATTGCTATCATCTGAAGAACACAAAAATTAAGACTTGAGTCTATATTTGGATTTGGAAGAAAGTGGCTGTGGGGAATAAGCTAAAAATTCCTAGTCTTTCACACTAAATCCTCATGTAAGTCAATGCTGAAAAAAAACAAAGCACACTTGTGTCCCAGGTTCTCTAGAGATTACTACATCAGTTTAGGGTAAAATCAGCAGTAAGTAATATCTGTCTGCTCTTATTTTAAGTACTGTCAAGAGTTTAACCAAAAAGGGAATTTGCCCTGTAGTCTTTATCTATATATTGAAAAAAACCGTGGTTAGAAAACACGTAGATATAAGAAAAAATTCTGTCAATGTATGTCTGACGTGCTATTGTGGCTTCAGTTAAAAATGGCTTCCTTTACACCAACATATTTGTTAGAGCTATACTTACATAAATCTACCATAACTGCATTCCTTGTTTTAGAGTGGCAGTATATAGAAGTCTGTAGTTTAATAATCTTTATATCTGATTGACGATTGAGGTTTGTAGACTAAAGGGTATCTAAGGTGAACCTGTTTCTGTCCCATACTGTGTGTATATATCAAATGGTGTATTGAAATTGCTATGTTACTATGTAAATCCAGTGAATGCTTTTCACACTACATAAAATTCCCTGCAAACCAAGAATGGTGAAAGATTTAATTTCAGAGATTTCAACATGAATATTCATTACAATTCTGCATCCTTTATAGGGAAAAGGAATTTATGTTTTTTAATTCATATGCTTTATCTAATTCATCGTGAAACTATATCTATCAGTATAGGAAAAATCATGTATATGCCTGTATTTATGTATCTATTTGAAGGAAAGAAAGGATTTATTCCCTAGAAGTAAACTAATTTATCTGTGATGTTATTTGTAATTGTAGATTGTTACTTGTAATTGTAATTGTAGATGTGAAGGACGTGGAACTCAATGAATCTTACAAAAAAAAAAAGTGTCACTCGGTTCGTTCTTTAAACAATGACATAGCTTTCATTAACCGTATAATCAGGAGGTGTCCTTATGTCTGTATTATATAATCTAGTTTCACTTTTACTAGTTATTTCCAATTAGTTCTTCTTAATGCAGACCAAATAATGAAATATATTTAATAGCACTCAAGAGTTTTGAAGGATACTATGCTTTCTACATAACTACAGAATGAATGACAAATATCATGCTTTAAGATTACAAATACAGCTATTTTGAATGCCAATGGTTGTCTGGATGCTGTTATGAAACACTTAAATATAGATAATTTTCAGGTTAATGGTAGGGCACTCCTTACTCTTTTCGTTGAACTGACACTTGAGAAAGCCTCTCGACCTTCGCTGTTCAGCAACTTCAGATATACCTTGGACATCTTTTTAGTTTCATTAGCTCACAGAGCTCTGTGCTTGATAAGCTCATAGGCCAAATATCATTACTTGTCATCGTTCATTTGCTGGTTTTATTAGGATTTAGCAGGGCTCTTTGCAAAACTTGTTAAAGAGCGAGCCCTATTTATTACCTGTGCACCAAAACCTGACATTTTTCTGTATTTGCTTCTTAAAAGTGGGCATTCCTATGTGTCTGTTAAAAAAAGTAAAGAACTAAGATATTGTATATTAATAATACAGTTTTCAATCTAAGCGTTCCATTAGACTTAACCTCAGTTTACCATGTTCCACAATTTAGAATATTCTACTTGTTTACCAAAATACTTTGGTTCAGATTTACTCCCCTACTTAATTTTCAACCATTTTTTTTTAAAATATAAGTATTGTTGGCATTTTTTGTTACAGGATATGATTATAGCCTTGTTAATCCACATTTTGAAATTACCTACTGTTCCCTGTATTAACAATAGATTATTTTCATAGTAGTCAAGCATCTATGCTTTATTTTTTCATATTCATTAATAGGAGAAAAATATTTTCTAACAATATAGTCAGAAATTCAAAAGGAACTTAGAGCAGATGTTATTGCTTTATAGAGTGTTGTAGATGGAAACGGTGTGGTAACAGTTTAGTGTTTTTCTTCTGGTTGCATAGTTCATATGAACTTTAACCAGAAGCAGCTGAATTAAAATGAGGTAAAACTTGTATCTGCTCATATTCTTGTAAGTGTAGTATAGAATCTGAAATATCATTGCTCCTATTTAGATGTTGTAATTTGTTTTATAGCTACTTTTCATATCCTAAAGAAACAAAAAGAAACATTCCTGTTAATATTAATATCACTATCATGATAGTTTTTTACGATTAATTTTAGTTTGATAGCATTTTATGATGTGTTCTGTTTTAAACTGTGTTCTCTTGCAGGTGCTGTGTGTCCTTTAATGAAAACAGCTGTCCGTCATCTCAAACAAATCAACGGAGACAGTCGTGGTGTTTCAGGTAAATGACTGAGCTAGTGTCTATATTAATTGGCTAGTAGTGGATGTAATCATAGTCTGACTGAAACTGGCTTTAAAATTGAAAAGACAGGACAGAATGCCACCCCCAAGCTCCAAAAGCTGCTGCTGTTGTTAGGAAAGTGGGATTAAAATCAGAGTGTGTTGTTCTTGGGAAGTATTGCTTCAAGTTCGGCAGCCACACTGATTTCCATAGTTTTTCCCAATGATCCCGCATTCTTATCAGTTCAGATGATAAAAGGAAATAACAAATGCATTTCTCAGGTAGCAAAGTCATCTATCAAGTGAATTTTGCACGAATAGTTTTGTTAAAATGAATATTGAATTTTTTTCTGTCTTCAAGTATTGATTTTTGAAATAGCTTGTCAGTCTGTATTCCAGAAAGTCACCAAGCATGCTAAGAGTCAGTATTTACTTCTGGTTTTTAAATCCCATTAAATTGTATCATATTGTGTCATATTTTATAGGATTTGATCTGGCAGAAAGCTTTTCTTTGAGGCAAACACCTTGTGGAGGGGAAAAGATCTGTTTTAAACTGGGAAGTGCACCTCTCATTAGAGATACAAGGTAAGTAAGATACTACTTTAATCCTTAGTGATAGAGTTCAGACCCAATGCTACTAATTACCTGAATTAACTAATTAACTGAATAACTTAGCAGTGTATTCAAAGGACACAACAGAAAGCAGTACATCTTGTTTTCAGTCATTTTGATCTGTAACAGGTTTTTTTTTTCTGTGGGAAGCATTTTGATTTTGGTGTGTTTTTCTTTTGGAATCTGGAAGTATCTAGGTAGTAAGTTAATTGTGAATATCACTTTCTCAAATCATGATTTTGATACTGAAAACTCTGTTGTTAATACATAAATATTTATAAAACAAAGGAAACAAATAACTGTCATGGTATGACAAGAAGTATTATGCTAATCTTCCCTCAGTGAAGTTGGCTGTCCTCTCTCATTACTGCTGGCAGGATTAAAAAGACAGTGTCACCATTTCTTTGAATGTTATTTTTTTTTTCCTGGAATTGACATATTGCTTTTGAGCAGCAACAGGATGGTGGGTATTCATTGTAGAGGAGAAAGTAGGCAATATCCTATTCTGACATAGGGTGGGATGAAAGGCAGAGACTGCATAAAAAATCAAAAGGAAGGTGAAAGAGAGTAAGGCATAATGGGACTGAATGGATTTAAGTTTGCTCATGGACAAGGAAATGCCAAGAAGCAGTTAGGAATGCAGTTTCAGGTTCCCTGTACTCAGTGGAGCTCATCTCAGAGCTTCTTGGTTGTGTTGTGCTCTGAGTCATGGGACTGTGGTTTCTGTACAGCGTGTTCCTGTGATGATGAGGGAAGCAACTGTATTCCCATGTCTTCAGGTTGGGTATTTTCTGTTGCAAGAGGTCTGGCTCCAGCTTGCCTAGTTAAAAAATACACCTGGCTCTCGGGTTTCCCCTTTGCTTGGATCCTGGGCATGGCAAAGATGGACTGTGGGTAGCATGAGGCCAGGAAGGAGGAGGAAGAGAGTAATTGGAGGCACCCAGACACAAAACAAAATGATCTTTGGGAGAGGAGCATGATGAAAGAAAGAGAAGCTAAATATCCTAAATTGCTAGATAGATTCCGAGTTTTTCTGACTTACTAGGTACTGTAAGTGCTAAATGGTTATGCTTTTGTAGTTTTGCAAAGTTAAACTAATCATGGTCTTTTTTAAATACCATGGACATTAGCTATTAAAGAAAAAATTACTAGATAAAATTCCTTGACATAGGGAGTGCTCTTCTTTTATTAGGACCTTGCCAATATTATCCATATTGCCTTTAGAAGAGGAGCAGGAGAAATTAGGTACCACCCATAAAATCTTTACTGAAAATGTAAGTTTGTTAGTAAGAAAAATTTCTTTTGAAAACCCATTCTTAATTTTTCAGATTTTTACAGATTTTTTTTTAAATAAGTGAGATTTTGAGGGAAACATGAGAGTACATAAGAGTAGAAAATCAAGACAATAACAAAAACTGTGGAGCAGTTTTCCTTTATGAATTAGAAGCTAAGTAGTGCTAAGAAATGCATGTTGCAAGCTGACTTTATTTTGAAACAGTAAGCAAATCAGTGGCAAAAATGGAGCAGACAGGAGCTATAAATTACAAAAGGGTGGATTATTTAAAATTCATATTACTTTGAGGTAAAAGTAATGATTTGAAGTATTGATTTCTAAGAATGTCTAAGTGTTTTTGGAAGTAGTCTGAGAGGTGATGTTGAGGATAAAAAAATGTAAGATTTTTTTTCCCAGCTTCTATTAGTAGGCCTGAATACTAATGTCTGTGTTTTTCTTTTCCTCTTTTAAAAGCAGTGTATTAGTGAACGTAATGAAAATGGGGAATTCACACCATGGCTGATAGCTGTGACTTTACGAATGTTAACTCTTAGGGAAGTTAATACTTTGCTAAGTATTAACTTAATACTTGAGAAAGTTGCAATTTTTTTTAAATTTTTTTTTTTAAAACTTTATGGAAGAGGAGAGAAATCTAAGTTCTTTCTTCATGTGTTTTATCTCTTCTCTTTATCTCTTTCCTGTATTTTATCAGCTTTTAGAAAGGAGTCAAAAATTGCTAGTTTTTCTTCATTGTCAGTGTAACGGGCAGAGGCTAAAGAATTTCGGTGAAGGGTGAACCTGGATGGCAGGTGGTTTGGCTTTACTTGTCTCAGTTCTCCTGTTCCTCTCCGTCCCTGTTGTTGTCTTCCATGTGTCCTCATTAAGGAAAAGCTAAAGGGAAAATCTTTCCCGTTTCCCCTAAAAATATGCATATCTAATGGATAAAAAGTTTAGGTGGATGAGGCAACTGAGATGATTATTAATAAAATAAGCATATCCATGCTAATGTATAAATATAGTTAGGCTGAAAATTAATATCTCGTTATTGATGAGAATAAGGTACAAGATAAGATTTTCAGTCCCCTTGTTGTCGAATTAAGTAGTGCCTCTTACATATATCTTCCTGAACAATAGAAGGGTTCAAAGTATTTTCAATAACATTCAAGCACTGAAAAATTTCCATTAAATCCTAACACTTCATGGCAATAGTCTCGCTCATGCTTTTTTAACCTTTCTTCACGGAACTGCATGTAATTAAAAGTAAATTCTATTCCCAATTAATGCAGTTTGTTAAATATATAATGACTTTCTGTTGTTGCGATTACACTGTGGTTCCAGACATCGCGTGTTATTAGACGCACACAAGTTTTCGGGATCGTTCTCCCTCAGAAAATATTTTAGTAGACGTGGTGAGCAGTAAGAAGCAGAACAGTGTTTGTTATCCATCCTGCAGGAAATTGAGAGTATCTGATTAAGCTGACTAGCAAGTATCAAGTAACTTGGCACATCTCCTCTTGCATTTCATTCGTTCAGTCGTAGTGTGGGTAATAGAAAGCTATGCTGTGCCATTTTTCTTCTGTGATGCCATTTTGGTTTTTTTTCAATGGACCTGGAATAGTGTTGCACCTATTTATATGTTGTAAATAATTTACAATGCTCTGTCAGCTTGGGAAATTGATTACATTTATTTATGCTGGATTTTAGTTATAGGTCTTTGTCTCTTTCTGTGATAGAGTTCTGTACATATTTTGTTTTGTGATAGGAGATGGATAGCTTTTATTATGTTCCATGTAATTTACTGTTAAATATGAATGTAATTCCAGTAATATTTTCTGGATTAAAGTGTGATTTTAAAAGTAAAATACTGTGACTTAATTATTGCAGTGCTTACGTGAACTTTAATAGAAGTTCTCCCTGAGGAAAGTAGTGTAACTGAGCCTTTGAATCATAAAGAAATTCACAGGAAAATACTGTTATGCAGACAGTCTAATTATATAGTCATAATCACACCATAGAATCATAGAATAATCATAATTGTATAATGTTTTACTTTTATTTCAACAAATAAATTGTAGAGTCATATTTTTTTCTCCACAGTTTAACATGTACTGTCTATGTAGTATATTCCAGTGTGGTATAGATTTTTCTGACAAAAGCAGCACAGGGCTCTGTGCTGATAGCAGCTCCATTAGGTCTACCAGCAGTATTCAGTACTTCTGGACATGAAGCCTTTTAGGCTCATCTTTGTTATTCACTTGCCTTAGAGTAGATAGCACTATGAAGAATTAATTTCACTGTCTTTCCCTGGAGATGCATGAGATGTCAGCTGTTCCTCATTCTCACTTTTCTGGGTTGCTGGTGGGCCAGTTTTTTCCTCTTCTGAAAGCGCCAATAAAGGAGATAATAAGTTGATTTCATCTGAGGTTCTGAAGTTTTGGAAATGGATGTTAATGATTAGCAAATCTGCATGGCACTGTCACAGCTTTCTTATTTTGTAGTTTGTTTGGCTTGACAAACCATATAAATTTACTGAGGAGATTATCATAGCTGACTGTTAAATGATCTGAGTTACAGCACTTGGGATCACTCTCACGACTCTTTTAGGAATTCTTCCCTTTTATTCTAAGATACTACAAAAGAGCTTGGATTTTGACTGTATTTGGACTACTGAGCTCCACTAGCAATGTTGTCACTCACTGCTGCCAGAAGAGCTGTGGTCTGGCCCATATTTCAGGGAAAGTGTTTCACCTCTTTGTGATGTCTAGTTACTGGAGGCAGAAATAGTGTTCCCACTTGTCTCAGTAAATTCCAGGCTGGAGGATTCTTTCTGCTAAGAACAGAAATTCATGATGAAAGAATATTTATGTGGGGGTTTCTGTTCATTTTTAGTGCTAACCTCTTTAATCGCAAAAAAATGTGGAGGGAATTTCATTTTGTAAAGCACAGCTGGCATGAAGTGAGGCAGTTTCTGTGCTCACTGTTAGAAGCCTTTCATGACTAGCAGTATGCTTTCCCAAAGGCACCTATCTCTAGGTGGCTTTGCAACTATTTACTTTGCTGTATGTTCTCTGGCTGTATCTGCTGAGACCTCCCTCTTCACCAAACTAAAAAACCAAGTTCCTTTCATATGACTTCAGCTGTCAGTGAAGGTCCTCATGGGCACAATTTTTTATTAATTTTGCCCATGGCATGTGTTTTGGGCAGCAGAGTCAGGTTTAACAGTCTTCTTGAAAAATATTTTTTAAGATATATTTTTCTTAAATATAGTATAGAATAGATAGATGTGAAAATCACCAGTTTCCAAAAGATTTCATCAAAAACTTTTAAAACATTGGCCGAACATGGCAATAGGTTGTTACCCCTATTTGGAGGCAGTAGTTGAAATTATTCAAACCAGCTTTTATCTGTGCTTACACAAAGTCTTGCTAGCCTTTGCTCTGTTAAAATATTAGATGGTTATGTAAGAAACCACCTTTCCTTTACTGTATCATGTATTTATTTAAGATCTTTTGAGCAGTGGGAGCCAACACTGCCAAGACTGAAATGTCTGGTATTTTGGTTGCAGGGTATTTTCAAGAAAAGGGCCTTGTTTTTGGAATTTACTTCCTGAGTGTGGGAGCCTGAATGTAGTAAAAAATCTTGATGGTGTTTTCAGGTCTTTCACATCAGTGGATCAGAAGCTGTAGTGATTTAGTCTTTT